ACCTGTGCAGCAAGACGTTGCACTATATGTTCGACAAGGATACCATAAGGAAGCATACGAGGGGGGCGCCCACACGTATTACTGCGATGGGGGGGGGCGCCCCTGTGTCATCGGGATGTGCACAAGTAACGCTGCACACGCAAAAAAAAAACTGGAAGTCTGCCCATGAACTGGCAACCGCCACAAGCCGCTCGCCGAACGCCTGCCGCCACTGATGCACTACAAGAACCCCTCAGTAATCCGTTTTGCCGTCGCATTCGGCTCCTCCTGGCGCTCGGGGCCGCTCGCAACGCTAAAAGTCGAAGCCGCGGCGGCGTCCCTCATCTTGGACAGGTTGCTGGCGATTATCTTGGGGTCCTCTCTGACCGCTTCGAAGGCCGAAAGCAATGGGCAACATGCAGGATGAACCGCATAATCCAATACTGGACATTCTTCACTATTCCGTAATCCCCCTGTTTTGCATCACATCTTTTTTGCATTCTCTTAGGTATCTTATTCCACCGTAGGACACCTCCCTCCGTCATGTCTCCTTCTTTCTTTTCTTCTGTCCTATCCTTCCTCCGTATTTCCCGTCCTCCTTGTGTCGCCTTTCCTTCTTCCCTCCTTGTTGGCCCTTCTCCTCACTTTGTTTTCCCATCCTTCCTTTCTTTCCTCATTGATACGTTCCCCAACCCCTTTCAACAAAATGCCCGTCTCAGCCGTCGGGAACGAGCCGACCCCCTGGGCGATCTGGGTCGTCATGGCCTCGAACCCTCCAGGCGGCACACCTGGAGCTACACCATGCCAGCTCGTCCACTTCTGCCGTTCCTCGCTGGGCTACAATTCATTCAGAGTTCGTTCAGAGTCTGATCAGACAAGTAACCACAATAATAAAGAGAGAGATAAAGAGGGAAGAGGACAGGAGACAACACCTAACACAACACAAGAAAGACACATGGTAAAACAGAACACGAATGAGTTCATAAACCCTAATCTCCTTCATCACCCCAGCAAGGGCGCCACACTTCTTCCCGCTCTCGAATCCAAAACTGACGCCGTCCTGGTAGCCCTGCGCGTAGGCACTGTGTCACACCGCAGATTCGCTGGACGTCCGCGCTTTTGTCACCACTGCCGTTGTTGCACCCGTTGCTGAGCCCGTTGTTGCTGCATCTGCTGGGGTCGCTGCATCTGCGGAGGCTGCCGCCGCCACTGCACCTGCTGCTGCTGCCACCCCCACGGCAACTGAAGCTGAGGCTGCAGTTTTTTTGGGGGGCGCTTCCTTTCCGGAGGACCTGGAGTCTTTGGGGCCCTTGGTAAGCCCTGGGCCTTGAGGTCAACTGGCGGCGGCGCGGGCGGTGCTGGCACAGGCACTGGTGGCAACGCCTCTGCTCGCCCGCCACGCTGCGCATTTGGCAGAACCCAAGTTGACGTTGGCCGCGCCAGCACTGGGGGTGGCGGCACTGGGGGCGCTGGCGGAAACTGCGGAACTGCCCAGTGCAGCTCACCGCACGGCTGCCCTAACTGTGGTTGTTGTGGCGGATGCTGCGGGAATGTTGGCTGCAACTCCACAATCCGCCGCGCTGATTGTAGTTCTGGTGGTGGCGGATGCAGCGGGGGCTTCGGCTGCCGCTGATCGCGCGGGCACGCTTTCTCTGGTCGAGGTGCCTGTTGTCTCCGAGGCGATGGCTGCGCCGATGGTGGCCTGTGGCAAGGCGCTCTCTTTACTCGTATCGGCTGTCGCTGCGAAACACTGACCGGGGTTGGGGGGTCTGCTGCTGCGCAAGCGCTAGCTGTGGCTCCGAGTGCGGCTGTGGCGTCGCTGTCCGTGGCTGCGCCGCACGAGTGTTCCCATCCGCTGCAGACAACGCCCACGGGCCCCAGGTCTCATCATCATCGGCGGTAGCAGCATGCGGCGGGAGCGCTTGCACATCGGCAACGGCTGCCGAAGCCGACGCCGACGCGGGGTCCAGCGCCGCCTCATCACCCATGCGTCGCTACCCCCGCGGGGGCCGAACAAAAAGGCGCTCCTCATGGGCTGCGCAGTGGAGCCACAACGGTTTCGGCATTGGGGAGTTCTGAAGGAGGACCTGGGTCGGGCATGGCATCGTGACACCTCAACGCTCGTCGTGCAGTAGACTAAAAAAAACGCACGTGCTTGTTTTGTACTGGTGTCGCAGAGTCCACCGCCGATCGCTGAGACCTCCGCACGCTGCGAGATCATTCTCGCGCCCCCCCCCCCCCCAGGGCCCATGGCAGAAGATCGCTCTCCAACGCAGGCCGCGAGACGCGATTATCCTGGCGCAACCTTCGAGTGGACTGCGGGGGCGAACCTGCCATCGGTATTTGAAGCCAGCACAACACTGGAACAATCCTGAGCGGCCGTTGGGGCGTGGACTTCTTTTGGGATTGATCCTCACCCTGTCCGCACTCTCCCACGGGCCTCCAGAGATACAGCCTTCCAGGAGGCACTCGCGTTGGCGGGAAAAAACCGCGCGTGGATTTTTAACAGCCAGCACATAAGTCCGTGCACGCGTGGGCCTCGCCGCCGTCCGTTGGCGAAGTGCGACGTTGACCTGTGCAGCAAGACGTTGCACTATATGTTCGACGAGGATACACTCAGAAAGCATACGAGGGGGACGCCCATACGTATTCCTGCGATGTGGGGGGACGCCCCTGTATCATCTGGATGTACAACAGTGACGCCGCACACGCAAAAAAAAAGAGAATCTGCTCGTGGAGTGGCAACAGCCACCAGCCACTGACCGGACGCCTGCCACCACTGACGCGCTACAAGATACCCTCACTAATCCTTTATGCCGTCGCCATCGGCTCCCCCCCATGACCCATGAAAGAAGACCACTCTCTAATACAGGCCGCGAGGCGCGATTATCCTGGCGCAACCTTGGAGTGGACTGCGGGGACGACCCTGCCATCGGTATTTGAAGCCACAGCAACACTGGAACAAGCTGCAAGAAGCACATGGTTTTCCTGAGGCGCGGGAAAGGGACCCTCGTTGCCAAAGGAGCAGCCGCCGCGCGAAACGTGCCCTTCCTCGCGCCCTTGGAACAGCCGCATGCAAAGCACATTGCCAACCCAGACCGCAAGACGCGATTCTCGTGGAGCAACTTTGGATAGATTGCGGAACAGCCGCTGGCATCGAAACTTCATGTCACAGTGACACCCGAGCATCCCAACGAAACTCGCATGAACGGTCTTGTCGGAGGAAGCCCTGGCTGCCAAAGGATCTTGCGCCGAACGAGCGTGACCATCCTCAAGCCCCTACCACGACCGCATAAAGAATGCACACTCACCACCAGACCGCAAAGCGCGATTATCCTCACA